ATTCGAACCCGCCACGTTAGGTGTATATGGCTGGTGCCTTAGCCACTTGAGCCACAGGTGCCGAGCCTTATTAGGTGTTCTTGTGGGCACCTAGAAACTTGTAGTACAATGTAAAGATTCTTGTTATGTTTACTTTATTTCATAAAACTAGACCTTGGCATATTATGTTTCCTTAAGATAGTTAAACTAAATGTTTATGTTCTAAGGCAACAATAACAAATGAAATCAATGGCAAACAAGTTCTCAGTTAATGAATGAACTATTTGCTCCCCCAAACAGTAATTCTTTTAAAGTTCTGTTTATTTAACTATGTTAAATTATAGTTTACTCATTTAATTGCCAATGTGTAAGATAAGTAACAAAAAAAATGAACTAGATTCATTCTTTCACATTTATGACATGCCCAGCATCTGTGAGGAACCTTGGACTATAAGTCAAATAACAGATGATCCCCATCCCTCGCGATGCTTATACTCTAGGTAGAAGCCAGCAAACTTCTTATAGAAAATAATGCAAAGCTAGAGGATAAATATTCTAGACTCTGCCAGATGCAACTGTCTCTGTCATATACTCTCCTTTAGTTTTGTCAGTTTCATTGTTTTTCTTTCTGAGCAATTCTTTCAAAATGTAAGTCATTTGTTCAGCTCTAGAGCTGAACAAGGGCAAAAAAATAAGCCAAGTGCAGGATTAGGCATATCAGCTGTAGACTGCCCCTGGTCTAGTAGGAGAGACAGGGAGGTACATTAATTATTGTAGTAGTATAAGTTTTATAACAAAATTATACATAGAGTGTAATAGAGACAGCGAGGAGAGGCATCCGGATGAAACTACTGGTAGTGTAAAGTATTTAGAGCCATCTCCTAGGAGGAAATGATAGTTCAGTCTAAAACGCCTCAATTTTCTCCCCCCGCCCCTTTTTTTTGAGACAGAGTCTCACTCTTTTGCCCCTGGCTAGAGTGCCATGGAATCATAACTCACCACAACCTCAAACTCCTGGGTTCAGGCAATTTTCCTGCCTCTGCCTCCCAAGTAGTTGGGACTACGGGTATGGGCCATTATACCTGGCTAGTTTCTCTATTTTTAGTGGAGAAGAGGTCTCGCTGTTGCTCAGGGGAGTCTTGAACTCCTAAGCTCAAGCAATCTAGGTCTGAGCCACCGTGCCTGACCCTCAATTTCTTATTTCACTGTTTTTTGTTAAGTAAAGAATTTTAGAAGCCTATAGTGCCTGGTATTCTGGGTTATCCCCTATCTAACCATGTCTAATCTTGCTCAGCTTCCAAGATGAGAGGAGGCTGAGGTGTGTTCAGGGTGGTATGACTGTAGACAAAGGTCTTAATTTTCTCAGTAAAGTAAAGGTCATCTAAAAATTAGTGGGACTGATAAATTTATTTTATTTTATTATTATTTTTAGAGACAGAGTCTCACTATGTCACTCTGGGTAGAGAGTGCCATGGTGTCATAGCTCACAGCAACCTCCAACTTTTGGGTTTAAGTGATTCTCTTGCCTCAGCCTTCCAAGTAGCTGGGACTACAGGCACCTGCCACAATGCCCGGCTATTTTTTGTCACAGTTTGGCTGGGTCCGGGTTTGAACCTACCACCCTCGGTATATGCCGGTCCCCTATTCACTGAGCCACAGGCACCGCTTGCGAAACTTTTTTTAAAAAAATAAAAAAATTATAATAATAATAAAATAGTATGGGAGCTGGGAACAAGAAAGTTGAGGATAGTTGTGTGACTAAGATGATGGGGATGGTAACTAGGTTGGATAGAGAAGGGAGAGAAATCAGAAAGTGGATGAAACATTAAGAAAATAGAGGACCCAGAGATCAAGCACTAGCAGTGATGTAATAAATGAGAGTAACAGCATTGCTAACATTTGAGTGCCTATCATGTGCCAGGTGTTTCAACTTTATATACGTGCTTAATTTAATTAAACCTTCACAACACTGTTCTAAGGCAGATACTATTTAGGCAGGTATGATTAACATCTCTATTTTACAGGTTAAGAAAATGGAAGTTCAGGCTGGGTGCGGTAGCTCACGCCTATAATCCTAGCACTCTTGGAGGCTGAGGTGAGTGGACAGCTTGAGCTTACAAATTTGAGAAAATGGAGGCTCAACAAGATTAGGTAACTTGCACCTCATTAAGTGATGACAAAAATGAGATTCAAGTCTAGGCTGGTTTGGCTCTAATGAGTCTAAAGCAGCAGTTCTCAACTTTGTAGGTCGCGACCCACAGGAACTGTATCAAAGGGCCGCGGCATTAGGAAGGTTGAGAACCACTGGTCTAAAGCTTCTGCTCTTTTCTTTTTCTTTTTTTTGAGACAGAGCCTCAAGCTGTCCCCCTGGGTAGAGTACCGTGGCATTACAGCTCACAGCAACCTCCAACTCCTGGGCTCAAGCGAGTCTCCTGCCTCCGCCTCCCAAGTAGCTGGGACCACAGGCGCCCGCCACAACGCCCGCTATTTTTTTTTGGTTGCAGCCGTCATTGTTGTTTGGCGGGTCCGGGCTGGGGATTCGAACCCGCCACCTTAGGTGTACGTGGCTGGCGCCCTAGCCGGTTGAGCTATAGGCGCCGAGCCTGCTCTTTTCATTATAAAGCAACAGACAGTAATAGAGTTTATGAGATGGAACAGATCCATAAGGCCAAGATCCAGAGTATAATTCCCAAAAAGACAAACTGAAGCAGAATGGAGGGTAGGGGCAGAGATGTTAGGTGAATTAAAGGAATTGTATGGGCTAGGATGTTTGAGGATTTACTTACATGGTCATTCACTTATGAAAATTAATAAAATACCTATTTTAGTATGATAGTAAAAGCAACATGGTAGAAAACTTGGAATTAAAACACTGGTTTGAGTTACATAATTTTACTGGTCTTCACAAATAGATGTAAAAGTCCTAGAACAACTGAATTTTGTGAGCCAAATGCGTCACCTGGGTAAACTTGTGGCATTTACTTAAGTCAGGATTTAGCTTCTGGGAGTTTTTATAAACAATAGAAAATAAAATATAGGAAAATATCTAAAAAATAATTCTTCCCTATTAGCCTGTAAATTCCATGATTTTCCAGATCAGTAATACATATACTACTGATACAAGTATACTATGTATATTAAGCTTTCTAGAAGAGTTGTCCTAGCTATTTCTCCTTACAAAAATAGCCAAATAAATAGTATGCATCATGACATATCATTATTTTATAGAAATTAATCTATAAAATCTATAGCAAAAAGGAAAAAAAATCCTCACAACTTACCACATTTTTCATTTCCAGAGGTTATCAAGCCCTATAAGGAAGACATTTAATAGTGATCACAATACATTCATTTTATGTACAAATTAATAGAAAAGTAGGTCTGTTATGGATACACATCCTGAAAAATCAAGGCCTATCAATATTTTCATAATCCTAAGAAAATAACCAGAAGTAAAATTTTTAAATGTTATCCAGTTTTATTTTAGAAATAAGTATTTCTGGACAAAAACTGGAAAAGCAGGAGACAATGCTTTTTCTACACAGGAACATACAGCTGCATTTTGCCAGCCATCTATCATTTTTCTTTTTTTTGGCAGTTTTTGGCTGGGGCTGGGTTTTTGAACCCTCCACCTCCAGCATATGGGGCTGGCACCCTTCTCCTTTGAACCACGGGCACTGCCCTATCTATCATTTTTCATCAAATTATGTTATCACTGATTTGCCATCATGGCTTTGAGTTCACGGGGAAAAAATTAAAAGGATGGTATCAATGATTATAAGACATCATTATTGTGGGCTATCATTATTTTATGTGCCAATTAAACTACATTGTAATGTCTTAAAATCAATTATAAAATGTAACCCAACTTCAAGGCTATTAAAATAAGGGGGGAAAGCTGAAAACTACTGTTAATAAAAATGGCATTTCCCATTTAACTACAAAAGATATTTGACTACCAAAACATTTTCTGAATGTTAAAGAAATCTCACATGGCCAGAAAACCCAAAGGGAGGGACTAGTATTATAATGTGAGGGATCTAGGAAAGTACATTTTCAAAATAGCTTGAGAAAATAATCTGAAGTGTTGGTAGATCAAGTTACCCTTTTAAAAATTTCGGAACTCACATTTTAGACAGGCTTTTCCTCTGAAATCTTAGCACAAAAAATGCTGATCAAAAATTATAAACTGTATCTAATGGCATTAATATGATAGTTATTATAATAAACAACTGTAGAAAAGTTAACAAGAGAGTAAAAATATTAAGTTATAGCTGTTCTAATCCCAGACTCACTTCAGACTTTTTTTGTTCAGGCTGTTCTTGACTTCGAAGTTCACTCCATTCAGATTTTACAGGTGTATCTGAGGAAAATGAAATCTTATTAAAATTAACATCTTTAATTATTGAACTTTTTTACATTAAAGTAATGTACAAAAACAGATTAATTCTAAAGTTTTTTTTTTCTTTTGCAGTTTTGCCTGGGGCGGGGCTTGAACCTGTCACTCCCAGTATAGGGGGCTGGCGCCCTACTCCTTGAACCACAGGAGCTGCCCAATTCTAAAGATTTTTAGAAATGGGCGGTGCCCATAGCTCTGTGGGTAGGGCACCAGCCATGTACACTGGGGATGGCAGGTTTGAACCAGGCCCAGGCCAGCTAGGACAACAATGACAACAACAACAACAACAACAACAACAACAACAACAACAAAAATGGCTGGGCTTTGTGGCGGGCATCTGTGGTCCTAGCTACTTGGGAGGGTGAGGCAAGAGAATCGCTTAAGCCCAAGAGTTTGAGGTTGCTGT